CTTCATTGTACACAGGGCTGTGTTACATGAAGGTATTTCTAATTCCATAAAAGTATATATTATATTTGGGGTATATTCCCTCCAAGCCCCCCTCATCATGATGCTGGGAACACAATTTCTCCCTTTCCCCTTCTCTTAGTTGCCTTTGTTCCCATGGATAATTTTGCCTTATTATACATACATGATTTCATGTGTTTATGCAACAGCTAGGAACCACATAGTTCTGTTATAGAGGACCCAAGTTCTGTTCCCACTACCCCAGTTGGGTGGCTCACAACCTCCTGTAACTCAAGATTGAGGAGTTCTGATTCTTTTTTCTGGAATTCCCAAGTATTTGCATTCATGTATACAGATAACCACAGGCAGAAACACACTACACACATGAAAACAAATCTTTGAAAAACAAAAGAAAATGACCCTCTCTCCCCTGTCAACCATTAATTGGGTTTAAATCCTCAGTGGGAAGTGGGGCCCTGTGAGACTTTCCACATTCTAGGACATGGTGTTGAGAAACCCAATCTTGTGACGAAACTCTGTAGGTAATCTCAGGTATTATACATTCAAGAATCTGGCAGCCATGCCATTCTCAGGAGTTAGTATTACATACACCACACAGATCCACCAGTTTCTCTGTCTTTTACATTCTTCCTGTCTTTCACAGTGTTCCCTGAGCCTTGGAAAGTGTAATACAATGATTCTTGAAGAGCCGACATTTAATAGTCATTTATTCTCAGTTCTTGGATTAGTTATAAGTTTTTCATTACTTAAGCAAACTGTCTTAAATGCATCCTGAAAATCCTTTTAAAGCATCCTTGCTTCAGTCACTGTAAAGAGAATTATAGGGCTGCAAGGGATTACATACTACCGTGTTTTAATTGACTTGGGTCTCTGTTGCTCATTTCTTTTTGTGCAAAGTTATAGCTGCCTGTTTCCTTGGTGTTGTATTTGAAATTTTACTAATTGAAATGATATGAGACCTATAATAGGATTTTCCTTCCCCAGAAAGAACCTTCTGTTTATAATAAGTACCTGTGGGTAGACTATTTCAAGAGCAGCTTTAAATGTTGCATTTGTCTAGACACCCAAGACTACTTGTGGCTTGTTTACCCTTGGTGCCATTTATACTGAGGATATAGCCCTTTGGAGTCCATCCTTAGAGTAGGTAGTAATTGATCCAATCTATTCATCCTGTTAAGGCTCTGAGATGTGACCTTTTCCCCTATTACCTCAAGATATTGACAAAAATATAAGCTATTTCTGGAGCTGTTTCTTTCATATTACGAGAGAAAATGTCAATGATGCCTTAGGAAAAAAAAAGACAAGCTAATTTTCATGGAATGTGCACTGAATGACAGAATTAAAGGAAAACATGGAAATAAAAAGGAAACCTCAAGATTTTTGAGGGTGCTTGGGATGATGATAAACAGGGCTGACACATAACGGCTTAGTGAGTTACCTATGACACTAGTGGTATTTTCATTAGCCATTCTCAGAAAGAAACAAAATGAGCATTAAAAAGGAGAACATTTTCAAGAAGAAATTAATGCCTTTGATCTACAGTGCAATCATTTTGACAAGTGTTAGAAGATTTGAAATTTATTTGCTTATAAAATTAAGAACAATATAAACTTTACAGTTGATGATTTAAATGAAATATATTTTATACTTTTTTAAATTAGATTTTGTGAAAATATTATGGGTGTGGATATTTTTCCCTGCATATAATTATGTGCCTGGTGTTCAGGGAGATCAGAAGAGGGCATCAAATCCTTTGGAACTAGAGTTATGGATGGCTGTGAGCTGCTACAATGTAAGTGCTGGGAATTAATCTGTCTAGGAAATTAAAGTCATGAAATTGTCAGGTAAATGGATAGAGCTAGAAACAATATCTTGAGTGGGTTTATCCAGATCCAGACACACATTCCCTGTTTTCGAACAGATGTGAATGTTAGCTGTTAAGCTTTAAATATGTTTATTTCAAACTGAATAAGTGCAGAGATTAGATCATGTTGTGTGTGTGTGTGTATGTGTGTGTGTGTGTATGTACAGGCAAGCAGGTATGTATGTGTTTGTGTATGTGTGTGTATGTTTTTTGTTTGTTTTTTTCCTCTCTTGGAGTGTTTTATTTGTTTTAATTTGGGTTGTTTTTCTGGAAGAAAGAAAGAACATTAAGTTGGATGGGAAAGACTTGGGAGGAATTGGGGGCAGGAGGGAAGAACATATGATCAAAATATTGTTTGGAATTTTTAAAACAAAAAAATTAAAATTAAAAATGAATATAAATAAAAATGCACAGTAATTCAATAGAGCATTATTAACAACAGAAAGCTGAGAAAGTAATCTGTTTTTAATATTTATTTTTATTTTTGTTTATGTGTATGTATGTATATTTCTGTTAGTGTCCATGAACTTGAACACAGGGAGTTGACAGTGGAAGGCAGAAGAAGGCATTGGTTCTCCTGGAGTTGGCATTACAAATGGCTGTGAGGCTTCCTCCATATGTGCTGGAAACCCAGCGTGGGTCCTCTCTAAGAACAGCAGCCACTCTTTTTTTTATTGATATTTATTGAGCTTTACATTTTTCTCTACTCCCCTCCCTGTCTCTCCCCTCCCCCTTCAATCCTCCCTCAAGGTTCCCATGCTTCCAATTTACTCACGAGATCTTGTCCTTTTATACTTTCTACTTCCCATGTAGATTATATCTATGTAAGTATCTCTTGGTGTCCACATTGTTGTCTAAATTCTCTGGGATTGTGGTTTGTAGGCTGGCTTTTTTGCTTTATGTTTAAAAACCACCTATAAGTGAGTACATGTGATAATTGTCTTTCCGTGTCTGGGTTACCTCACTCAAAATAATATTTTCTAGTTTCATCCATTTTCCTGCAAAATTTAAGCTGTCATTATTTTTTTCTGTTGTGTAGTACTCTATTGTATAAATGTACCACATTTTTCTTATCCATTCTTCAATCGAGGGACATTTAGGTTGTTTCCAGGTTCTGGCAATGACAAACAAAGCTGTTATGAACATAGTTGGACACCAAAAGATCACATAATCCAATAAAAAATGGAGTACAGGCTTAAACAGAGAACTCTCAACAGAGAAATCTAATATGGCTGAAAGACACTTAAGGAAATGTTCAACATCCTTAGTCATCAGAGAAATGCAAATCAAAACAACTCTGAGATTCCATCTTATACCTGTAAGAATGGCCAAGATCAAAAACACTGATGACAATTTATGCTGGAGAGGTTGTGGGGAAAAGGGAGCACTTCTGCAGTTGCTGGTGGGAATGCAAGCTGGTACAACCCCTTTGGATGTCAGCGTGGCGATTTGTCTGAAAATTAGGAAACAACCTTCCTCAAGACTCAATAATACCATTTTTGTGTATATATCCAAAGGATGTTCAATTGTGCCAGAAGGACATGCACTCTCTTTTTTTAAAAAAAAAATATTGATTTTATTAATCTATAAATTTTTCTCTTCTCCCCTCCCTTCCTCTCCCCTCGCCTTCTACCCTCTCCCATGGTCCCCATGCTCCAAATTTACTCAGGAGATCTTGTCTTTTTTTATTCCCCATGTAGATTAGATCCATGTATATCTCTCTTAGGGTCTTTTTTGTTGTCTAGGTTCTCTGGGATTGTGAATTGTAGGCTGATTTTTCTCTGATTTATGTCCAAAAACCATTTATGAATGAGTACATGCAATATTTGTCTTTCTGAGTCCGTGTTACCTCATTCAATATGATGTTTTCTAGCTCTATCTATTTGCCTGCAAATTTCATTATTTTTTTCTGCTGTTTAGTATTCCATTGTGCAAATATACCACATTTCCCTTTTCCATTCTTTGGTGAAGGGTCATTTATGTTGTTTCCAGCCTCTAGCTATGACAAACAATTCTGCTATGAACATAGTTGAGCACATGTCCTTGTGGTATACATGAACATCCTTTGGGTATATACCCCAAAGTGGTATTGCTGGGTCTTGAGGAAGGTTGTTTCTTAATTTTCTGAGAAATCGACATACTGATATCCAAAGCTGCTGTACCAGTTTGCACTCCTACCAGCAATGCAGGAGTGTTCCCTTTACCCCAATCCTCTCCAGCATAAGCTGTCATCCGTGTTTTTGATCGTGGCCATTCTTACAGGTGTAAGATGGAATCTCAGAGTTGTTTTGATTTGCACTTCTCTGATGACTAAGGATGTTGAGCATTTCCTTAAGTTTGGATTCCTCTGTTGAGAGTTCTCTGTTTAGGTCTGTACTCCATCTTTTTTATTGGATTATTTGTTCTTTTGATGACCAATTTCTTGAGTTCTTTGTATATTTTGGAGATCAGCCCTCAGTCTGATATAAGGTTGGTGAAGATCTTTTCTCATTCTGTAAGGCAAAGAGCAACCACTCTTAAATATTGCACCATCTCTCTAACCCCAGGAAGCAATCATCTTTTATTTATTTTTTTGAAATTCAATTTGTTTTGTATAAAAATTGTGTGCAATCAGTTACATATAAATACACATTCCAGTTTTATAGTCAGGAGCATATAAATTCAAGATGGCCAACTGACATTTTACTGTTAAAAAGAAACACAACAACCCAACATTCATATTCAAGTTTCATTGAATATATATATATATATATATATATATATATTTAAAATGTGAAAAGCATTTTTTCACCAGTCATAGCAAAATACATATATACATATTTATAAAGAAGGCATAAGCTATTTCCAATATTACATGGTTTTGTTTGCTGAATGCAAACACCAGCCAAGAGAATAAAAATCAGTTTCCCAAGAACAGTGTTTTATATTTTGGTTGAAAGAGTCTTACTATGTAGCCTAGGCCACACTCACACGTGGGAACTAAAAATCTTCCAGTCTCAGCTGCATAGGCCTTGGGTGCTCATTACAACACATACTTATTTCTGGCAGATATTTCAAGAGGTGGTTGCTAGGTAACTGTAGACTCCTTAATGAAGACTGTGGCATCTTGATGTTCTTTTCATACTGGTACTCTTGGAAAAAGGTGGCTCCGTCTTTGAGGGGAAGTGTATTTAGGTTTGTAAGAACTCAGGCTATACCCTGGCCACTTTCCGGAATTCTTTTGTGTGTGTCTTGGGTCACTGCATCTCACACCAGCTGATGGGAACCATCTGGACACCCGATTCACTGTGGGCTACCACTAACCCTAACTCATTTTCAGCAGTGCTCAGCAAGTAATTGGACTGTGTGTCACCTAGGGAGATAACTTTGGCCAAAACTATGTCACCTGCGCAGGAAACTCTTGTAAATTTCAACCTTGTCTTTTTCAGTTGCTCGGATACCTTCCTTGCGGATAGTTCCTCGAAAAACATTTTTTTTTTATTTTTATTTTTTTATTGAGAAAAGGAAAAAAAAATTCCGCCTCCTCCCAACCTCCCATTTCACTCCCCCTCCTCCCACCCTTCTCCCACTCTCCCAAAACTCCTCTCCCCCTCCCTCTCCAGTCCAAAGAGCAGTCATGGTTCCCTGCCTGTGGAAAGTCCTAGGTCCGCCCCCCTCCGTCCATGTCTAGGAAGGCGAACATCCAAACTGGTTAGGCTCCCACAAAGCCGGTACATGAAGTAGGATCAAAACCCCGTGCCATTGTCCCTGGTTTCTCATCAGTCCTCATTGTTCGCCATGTTCAGAGAGTCCGGTTTTATCCCATGCTTTTTCAGTCACAGTCCAGCTGGCCTTGGTGAGCTCCCATTAGATCAGCCCCAATGTCTCAGTGGGTGGGTGCACCCCTCGTGGTCCTGACTTCCTTGCTCATCTTCTCCCTCCTTCCGCTCCTCATTGGGACCTAGGGAGCTCAGTCCAGTGCTCCAGTGTGGGTCTCTGTCTCTATCTCCATCCATCACCAGGTGAAGGTTCTATGGTGATATGCAAGATATTCATCAGTATTGCTATAGGATAGGGTCATTTCAAGTTCCCTATCCTCAGCTGCCCAAGGGACTATCTGGGGACATCACCCTGGCCTCCTGGGAGCCACTCTACGGTCAAGACTCTTGCCAACCCTAAGGTGGATCCCTTAACTAAGAATTGTGTTTCTGTGCTCCCCTGTCCAACCTTCCTTTATCCCAATCCTCCTGTTTCCCCAAGTTCCCCCCTCCTTCCCTTCTCACTTTTCTCTCCCCATCTCCCCTTACCCTCATCCCAACCCACCCCCAAGATCCCAATTTTCTCCCCTGCTATTTTGTCTACTTCCCACAGACAAGAGGATAACTATATGTTTTTCCTTGGGTTCACCTTCATACTTAGCTTCTTTAGGTTCACCAATTGTAGTCTCCGTGACCCATATTTATGGCTAGGAACCAATTATGAGTGAGTACATCCCATGTTCAACTTTTTGGGTCTGGGTTACCTCACTCAGGATAGTGTTTTCTATTTCCATCCATTTGCATGAAAATTCGAGAAGTCATTGTTTTTTTACAGCAGCGTAGTACTCTAATGTGTATATATTTCATACTTTCTTCATCCATTCTTCCATTGAAGGACATCTAGGTTGTTTCCATGTTCTTTCTATTACAAATAATACTGCTGCGAACATAGATGAACAAATGCTTTTGTCATATGATCAGGCAACTCTTGGGTATATTCCCAAGAGTGGTATTGCTGGGTCCAGGGGTAGGTTGATCCCGAATTTCCTGAGAAACCGAAACACTGATTTCCACAGTGGTTGCACAAGATTTCATTCCCACCAGCAATGGATGAGGGTACCCCTTCTTCCACAGCCTCTCCAGCAAAGGCTATCGTTGGTGTTTTTGACTTTAGCCATTCTGACAGTTGTATGATGATATCTCAAAGTTGTTTTGATTTGCATTTCCCTGATTGCTAAGGAGGTTGAGCATGACCTTAAGTGTCTTTTGGCCATTTGAACTTCTTCTGTTGAAAATTCTCTGTTCAGTTCAGTGCCCCATTTTTTAATTGGGTTAATTAGCATTTTAATGTCTAGTTTCTTGAGTTCTCTATATATTTTGGAGATCAGACCTTTGTCTGTTGCGGGGTTGGTGAAGATCTTCTCCCAGTCAGTAGGTTGCCTTTTTGTCTTAGTGACAGTGTCCTTTGCTTTACAGAAGCTTCTCAGTTTATGTAGGTCCCATTTATTCAATGTTGCCCTTAATGTCTGTGCTGCTGCGGTTATACCTAGGAAGCGATCGCCTGTGCCCATATGTTGTAGGGTATTTCCCACTTTCTCTGCTATCAGGTTCAGTGTGTTCGGGCTGATATTGAGGTCTTTAATCCATTTGGACTTGAGTTTTGTGCACGGTGAGAGATATGGGTCTATTTTCATTCTTCTACAGGTTGACATCCAGTTGTGCCAGCACCATTTGTTGAAGATGCTTTCTTTCTTCCATTGTATACTTTTAGCTCCTTTATCAAAAATGAGGTGTTCATAGGTTTGTGGGTTAAAATCCGGGTCTTCTATACGATTCCATTGGTCGACTTCTCTGTTTTTATGCCAGTACCACACTGTTTTCATTACTGTAGCTCTGTAATAGAGTTTGAAGTCAGGGATGGTAATGCCTCCAGAAGATCCTTTATTGTATAGGATTGTTTTGGCTATTCTGTTTTTTTTATTTTTCCATATAAAGTTGATTATTGTCCTCTCCTGATCTGTGAAGAATTTTGATGGGATCTTGATGGGGATTGCATTGAATCTATAAACTGCCTTTGGTAGAATTGCCCATTTTTACTATGTTGATCCTCCCAATCCAAGAGCAAGGGAGGTCCATCCATTTTCTGGTATCCTCTTCAATTTCTTTCTTCAATGCCTTATAGTTCTTGTCAAATAAATCTTTCACTTCCTTGGTTAGATTTACCCCAAGATATTGTATGCTGTTTGTGGCTATCGTGAAAGGTGAACCTTCTCTGATTTCCCTCTCTGCTTCCATATCCTTTGTCTATAAGAGGGCGACTGTTTTTTTGGAGTTGATCTTGTATCCTGCCACATTACTAAAGCTGTTTATCAGCTGTATAAGTTCTTTGGTGGAGTTTTGGGGGTCGCTTATGTACACTATCATATCATCTGCAAATAACGAAATTTTAACTTCTTCCTTTCCAATCCGAATCCCCTTGATCCCATTATGTTGTCTTATTGCTATTGCTAGAACTTCAAGCACTATATTGAAGAGGTATGGCGAGAGTGGACAGCCTTGTCGTGTTCCTGAGTTTAGCAGGATGGCTTTGAGTTTCTCTCCATTTAATTTGATGTTAGCTGTCGGCTTGCTGTATATAGCTTTTATTATATTTATGTATGACCCTTGTATCCCTAATCGCTTCCATCTTTTATCATAAAGGGATGTTGAATTTTGTCAAATGCTTTTTCAGCATCTAATGAAATGATCATATGGTTTTTTTCTTTCAGTTTATTTATATGCCTGATTACATTGATAGATTTAAGTATGTTGAACCAGCCCTGCATCTCTGGGATGAAGCCTACTTGATCATAATGGATAATTTTTCTAATGTGTTCTTGGATTCGGTTTGCCAGTATTTTGTTGAGGATTTTTGCGTCGATGTTCATGAGTGAGATTGGCCTGTAATTCTCTTTCCTGGTTGAGTCTTTGTGTGGTTTTGGTATCAGAGTAACTGTAGCTTCATAAAAGGTATTTGGTAATGACCCTTCTGTTTCTATATTGTGGAATACATTAAGGAGTATAGGTATTAGGTCTTCTTGGAAGTTCTGGTAGAATTCCACATTGAAACCATCTGGTCCTGGGCTTTTTTTTTTTTGGTAGGGAGGTTTTTGATAACAGCTTCTAATTCTTTGCGACTGACAGGTCTGTTTAGATTGCTCACCTGGTCCTGGTTTAATTTTGGTATATGGTATTTATCTAAAAAAGTGTCCATTTCTTTAACATTTTCCAGTTTTGTGGCATACAGGCTTTTGTAGTAAGATCTAATGACTCTCTGAATTTCCTCTGTGTCTGTGGTTATGTCCCCCTTTTCATTTCTGATCTTATTAATTTGCGTGTTCTCTCTCTGTCGTTTGATTAGTTTGGATAGGGGTTTATCAATCTTGTTGATTTTCTCCAGGAACCAGCTTTTTGTTTCATTGATTCTTTGGATTGTTTTCTGTGTTCCTATTTTGTTGATTTCAGCCCTCAGTTTGATTATTTCCAGTCTTCTACTCCTCCTTGGTGAGTCTTCTTCTTTTTTTTCTAGAGCTTTCAGGTGGGCTGTTAAGTCTCCAATATGTGCTTTCTCTGTTTTCTTTAAGTGGGCACTTAGTGCTATGAACTTTCCTCTCAGGACTGCTTTCATAGTGTCCCATAAGTTCGAGTATGTTGTTTCTTTATTTCATTGAATTCAAGGAAGACTTTAATTTCTTTCTTTATTTCTTCCTTAATCCAGGTATGGTTCAGTAGATGACTGTTCAGTTTCCATGAGTTTGTAGGCTTTCTGGGTTTAGCATTGTTGTTGAATTCTAACTTTAATCCATGGTGATCTGATAAGACACAGGTGGTTACTAATATTTTTTTTTGTAACTGTGTAAGTTAGTTTGTTACCGAGTATGTGGTCAATTTTCAAGAAGGTTCCATGAGCTTCAGAGAAGAAGGTATATTCTTTCCACTTTGGGTGGAATAATCTATAGATGTTTGTTAAGTCCATTTGATTCATTACCTCCATTAATTCTCTAATTTCTCTGTTAGGTTTCTGTCTGATTGACCTGTCCATGGGTGAGAGTGGAGTGTTGAAGTCTCCTACTATTAGTGTGTGCGGTTTGATGGCTGCCTTGAGTTTTAGTAATGTTTCTTTTATGTACGTGGGTGTTTTTATATTAGGGGCATAGATATTCAGGATTGACACTTCATCCTGATGAATTGTTCCTGTTATGAGTATAAAATGTCCCTCTCCATCTCTTCTGATTGATTTAAGTTTGAAGTCAACTTTGTTAGAAATTAGTATGGCCACACCTGCTTGTTTCTTAGGTCCATTTGCATGATAATCCTTTTCCCTGCCCTTTACTCTGAGTAGGTGCCTGTCTTTGTGGTTGAGGTGTGTTTCTTGTAAACAGCAGAATGTTGCTTCCTGTTTTCGTATCCAATCTCTTAGCCTGTGCCTTTTTATAGGTGAGTTGAGCCCATTGACATTAAGTGATATTAATGACCAGTGGTTGTTAACTCCGGACACTTTTTAAAAAAATTTATTTATTAAGGATTTCTGCCTCCTCCCCACAACCGCTTCCCATTTTCCTCCCCCTCCCCCGACCAAGTCCCCCTCCCTCATCTGCTCGAAGTGTAATCAGGGTTCCCTGACCTGTGGGAAGCCCAAGGACTCCCCACCTCTATCCAGGTCTCATAAGGTGAGCATCCAAACTGCCTAGGCTCCCCCAAAGCCAGTATGTGCAGTAGGATCAAAAACCCACTGCGATTGTTCTTGAGTTCTCAGTATTCCTCATTGTCCGCTATGTTCAGCTAGTCCGGATTTATCCCACACTTTTTTAGATGTAGGCCAGCTGGCCTTGGTGAGTTCTTGATAGAACATCCTCATTGTCTCAGTGTGTGGGTGCATCCCTCGTGTTCCTGAGTTCCTTGCTCGTGCTCTGTCTCCTTCTGCTCCTGATTTGGACCTTGAGATTTCTGTCAGGTGCTCCCATGTGGGTCTCTGTCTCTGTCTCCTTTCATCGCCTGATGAAGGTTAATATTCATGAGGATGCCTATGTGTTTGTCTTTGGATTCACCTTCTTATTTAGCTTCTCTTTTAGTAGTAGGGTTTGTGTGTTTCCCTTCTTTGAGTTGCGCTCGTGAAGGGTCTCCAGATGTCTGAGTTATTGTGGTCATTGTTGGACTCCTTGGTTAGTGATTTTCCTTCTATTATTTTCTGTAAGGCTGGATTTGTGGCTACATATTGTTTAAATTTGTTTTTATCCTGGAAAATTTTGTTTTCTCCATTTATAGTGAACGAAAGCTAGGCTGGGTATAGTAGTCTGGGCTTGCATCCATGGTCTCTTAGTTTTTGCAGTACATCTATCCAGGACCTTCTGGCTTAAATGGTTTCCATAGAGAAGTCAGGTGTAATTCTGATAGGTTTACCTTTATAAGTAATTTGGCCTTTTTCCTTTGTGGCTCTTAATATTAATTTTTTATTCTGTATGCTTTGTGTTTTGATTATTATATGGCGAGGGGATTTTTTTTTTTGATCCAGCCTATTCGGTGTTCTGTAAGCTTCTTGAACCTTCATAGGTACATCTTTCTTCAGGTTGGGAAAGTTTTCTTCTATAATTTTATTAAGTATATTTTCTGGACCGTTGAGCTGCACTTCTTCTCCTTCTTCTACTCCAATTATTCTTAGGTTTGGTCTTTTTATTGTGTCCCATATTTCCTGAATGTTTTTTGATGAGAGTTTGTTAGACTTGCTGTTTTCTTTGATCAGTGTGTTTATTTTCTCTATGTTATCTTCAGAATCTGAGATTCTTTCTTCTATCTCTTGTATTCTGCTGGTTATGCTTGTTTCTGTAGTCTCTATTCGTTTACCTAGATTTTCCATGTCCAGCCGGCCCTCTGTTTGTGTTTTCTTCTTTGCCTCCATTTCAGTTTTCAGGTCTTGAACTGTTTCCATTATCTGCTTGATTGTTTTTCCTTGGTTTCCTAGGGTATCATTCACTGATTTATTCAATTCCTCGAACTTTCTGTTATACTTCTCATCCATTTCTATAAGGGCGTTTTTTACATGCTGTTTAAGGGTGTCAATCACTTTCATGAAGTCAATTTTTTCTACTTCTTCTTGATTAAGGTGTTCATGTCCTCCTGTTGTGATGTCGCTGGCTTCTGGTGGTTTCATGTTGTTTTTCAGATTGTTGGGTGAATTCTTGCATTGGTGTCTGCCCATCTCTTCCTCCCAATACTCCCCTATGGATCTTCTTTTACAGGGTCAGGTCTTCTTGCACACTGATGTACCTTCCCAGTGATGTCACTCCCCAGTGATGGTTCTCCTGGTGTCCTGATCGGATCTCCTTGCTGCTTGGTTAGCTTGCACACAAACGGCCCACCCCGCTTGCTGCAGGCAGGCTATGGAGACAAAGGAACTACCGCCCTCCCTTTTGCCCTCCTGATTTGGGTTCGGTCCCAGCGCCCTAGCAGGCTGAGCTGGGAGGTGCTATGCCACCAAAGAGGGGAGGGAGGGAGTGAGGGAGAAAGACAGGGGTTAGGGGCTTCTGGATGTAAGCTGGGTCTGATAGCAAGAGAGAGGAGGTATTGGGCAGTATAGCCCCTGCAGGATGAACAGGAAGTTGAGGGGGGATGAGGAACGTCTGAGTTCCCTGGTCCCCACTGTCGCCACACTCACTCACGGCAATGATGTCTCTCTCGGTGCCCAGATCGAAACTCCTTGCTGCTTGGGTACCTCGCACACAAAGGGCCCACCCTGCTTGCTGCAGGCAGGCTATGGAGACAAAGGAACTACCGCCCTCCCTTTTGCCCTTCCGATTCGGGTTGGGTCCCAGTGCCGTCGAAAAGCATTTTTTAGTGGTGTGGAACCCACATACAAGATGTGTACTTTGGCAAAATGTGAGTTGATGCTAAAGACCTTACAGGTGATAACAGCTCCTACATCTCGAAGTAGCTGGGACTCTGTTTCTCTCATCACAGACACCACAGGAAGCACGCCATTCTCACTGGTCTTTGTCAGGCAGCCCGCCAGTGACGAAAAGATGTAGCCATGCTGGGTGTAGGTGCTGCTCCTGGGGCTGCCTTCCTCCAAGTTACACAGGCGTTCACTAGGGATACAGTACTTCACAGGTGGTGCCATGCTTGTCCCTGTCCAAAACCCGGATGAAAAACTATATATGGGTTTTTATTTAAGTATTTTAGAGTTTAGAGTTTCACACATGAATATCTTGTATTTACAACATTTACATCCTTCCATCTTCCCTACAACTCCTTCAATATTCCATAAACCCCTTAGAATTCCTGACCATTTCTCTAATAATTGTATTTTTTGAGTGTGTGTGTGTGTGTGTGTGTGTGTGTGTGTGTGTGTGTGAGAGAGAGAGAGAGAGAGAGAGAGAGAGAGAGAGAGAAACATTCTGATTCCATCTAGTGTTTAGTGTTGCTCATATGTTTATGTGTCTTCAACTGAGGACTTGGAAATAGATACCTGGAAATAATGGATTCTCCCTTCTTCAGTAGCCATTGACTTGTGACACTTTCTCCATCCATGCTCGCTTGTTGACTGAATGATGGTTAGGCAGATCTAGTTTAGACCACCATGCTATTTAGATTTTTCGAGTGCACTGTTTGTCATGTCTAGAAGACACTATATCACAGCAAGCATCCAGGTTTTCTGCCTCTTAAACACTCCACTTTCTCTGCAGTGATGTTTTCTGAACCTTTTGTGTAGCTGTTAAATTGTAGATGCACTGGTTGCAGGTAGAGATCTCAACTATCACATATTTTCTGCATTTTGACCAGATCAGATGTAAATCTCTGTAGAAGCCTTTTTCCACTTCAAAAGGAAGCCTCTATGATGAGGGATGAGAGATAATCTTATTTGAGGGTATAAGGAAAAATAACTACATAGAAGACATTAAGACATTTAGAAATCATTCTGGTTTAGAAAAATGGCAATCACCAGTCCTCTAGATTCCATGGTGTCACTACCCAGGTTTGCAGTACCAGGAATGAGAACCTCACTACTGAAAGGGCCGTCTGTCCAAGAAGCATCTGTTGATTACCCTCAAAATCTAAGTGCCACTATTGGAGCCTTGGGAATATTTTGTCAGGCCCCCATTCATTTTGATTTGCAGTCTTTACAGCTGGGTAGGACTATTTATTACTCTTCTCTGTTGGGTACTTGCATAACACCTTCAGGTAGCAATCTTAAAGCTGAACAAATTTGTATGACGCATGTGCAAATGGAAGAGTAGAACACATGTATTTGTTTCTATATATGTGAATATTTACACACAAGATACGTTAAATGGCATAGATTATGTCATTATAATATATAGTATAATATATACTCTATACAATATAATATAATAAGATAAAACAAAATTAGCACAATGGATTTGTACAAAGCAAAAAAATGGATCATTTAAAATTTAAAACTAAATATAAATTTACATAGGCATATATAACATGTTCTTGTTTTGAAATATTAGAATACTCCATGAAAAAGGATATATGATTTCATGTTAATAGTGAGTATATAAGGAAATATTTTGTTGATAAATTTTGTAAAGTTCTACAGTAAACATATATCCATTTTATAAATATGAAAAGTAGATAATTTGCTGAATAAAGATATGTGGTGTTGTGGGATAATGCATAGTTTACTTCAAAGTACAAGGCCCTTGAAATAGAGAAAAGCATTCCTAATTTTCAGGCCTATATTAGTTCTTGGATTTCTGTGTTGTGGGGCAGATACTAAATGAAAGATTCCCTATTTTGTTGTCACTTAATTTCATATTGTGGGTCATTCAAATAGAACCAATCATTCTTCCAGAGTCAATTAATTGGAAATTAGTCCCAGCATCACGTTCTCTGTCAGTCCTTGTCAGCACCGTCATTTTGTTTGCATTTTCTGTACCCTAATTGATGTTTTAGGGGAAGATGTACAATGTTGCATAGCCTGTATTACCCTGAAGTTGTAAAGGAAAAATTATTTTTGTTGATACTTGACTCAGTTGACAACCATTTTTGTGATTGTATTGAAAACAGGAATTTTTATTTTGTATTGTGGCCTAACAGACTAGTTATTTCTCTTGCTCTGTGGGCACTCGAATCATTTGAGCATGGTTCCTGACATATGGGGAAAACTTTGGTTTGCTGGCTTTTGTTTGTTTACTGAAGTTCTCCGAGGCAGAGTATATGTGATTCTCTCTGAGACCAAAAAGGAAAGAATATGTCAGGTTTTGATGGGGCTCTGGGAAGAACAATGGTTTTTGTTTCCAAACATTACTCTGGAGCCAGAGGCTGTTTTGGTTTTTGGTTTTCTGAGTTGTGTTTTTGAGACTTTTGCTAAAGAGAATTTTATTAGGATGCTAAATGGCAGGAATGTAACCAGTTGCCACATCTATACATACATTAAATTCTTTGCAGTTGCTAAAACTTATGAAATCACCCCACAACTTTTATGGCACTTACATAATTTTAAAGGCTAACATGAGGAAAATAGCACTCACAGATCCCACTTTTATAACTTTGAGATTTTTGCGTGAGGATGTGTATGCATGTTGTAAGTGTATGTGTGTTGAGGCCAGAGTAAAACTTCAGATAAAATCTGCACTTTTTAATTTTTTATTGTTTGAGAATTTCATGCATGAATATAATGTGTTTTGAACAAATCTATTACCCATTCCCTTCTCTCCTCTTTACCAACCACTTCTCCTTTAAAATTTCATGTCCTCCTTAAAAATATGTTTTTTCCGCTACCTATATATATACATGAGTGTAGGACCATCCACTGGAATATGGATGATCTCTCAGTGGCTACATCCCTAAATAAAATTGACTTTCCCTCCCCTAGCAACAATTAATTGCCAGTAGCTTTTCAGCTAGGTGTGAGACTTCATAGGCTCTCCCATATCTGTGCTAGAATTTTGGCTGGTTTGATATTTTTTAGTACTTGTTCATACAATAATAGCTGCTATGACTTCATTTATGCAATATCCTGGTTATGTCCAGCAAACACTGTGTCTTTGCAAATTACCACTACCCCTGATTTTTACACTCTTTCTGCACCTTCTTCCATGATGATACCCAAGACTTGGAGTCAAAGAATTGTGATATACTCCATTCTCTGTATGCTGACCATTTGTGAATCTCTGTATTATTCACCATATACTCAAACAACAATATCAATGATAAAAGTTTCTCTGAGGACCGAGAGGCAATGACCTATCCAGGAATGAATTTCTGGCCCAATTAATTGTTTCAGATGTGAGTTCTATCTGGTGGAGCAGTTTTTAAATACAATTAGAATATAGTTGGTTGGCCGGGCGGTGGTGGCGCACGCCTTTAATCCCAGCACTCAGGAGGCAGAGGCAGGCGGATCTCTGTGAGTTCGAGACCAGCCTGGTCTACAAGAGCTAGTTCCAGGACAGGCTCCAAAACCACAGAGAAACCCTGTCTCGAAAAACCAACAACAACAAAAAAAAAAGAATATAGTTGGTTACTGCTACAACATCCATGGCACTATTGCAAGCAATAGTAAATATATTTAGTTAGACAAAACATTATTATAATTCTAAGGTTTCACAGATGAATAAGACAGTTCATCACATTTCTCCTCTGATACAACGCATAACACATTCCTGTCCTCTGAAAGTTATCCAGGAGGGATGAAGCTTTCAGGTCAATTCCAGCTTGATTTTTTCAAGAGTCTTCAGCAACAGAGCCCTAACATCAATTTTTGTAGAACAACTAAGAAACAAGGATAATAATTGTAATTTTTGAGATGTCTATGGAACCTTACTGTGCAATAACTCTAAAATAGGTAACCCACATCTGCCATGGGATTTTATATGCTGGCTTATGGTATCTGAGAGAGATTTTTGTCTTCTTGTTATAGGGTAATTCAGTTTACATTCATTTTAAATATTCATTTGTATATCTTTTAGAAAGCTGATATATTAGTAGGCTTTCATATGGAATGTCAAAGGTATTAAGCATTAGTCATATGTCCCATAATCCCTGCTTTCCCATGCCTAACCCCACTTAAGTCTTCCTAATCTAGTATTCCACCTTTCTAATTTACACTGTCTATGTTCTATACCTTTCCCTTAATATCTCCCACAATGGACCCTTACAGTTTCCTGATTTATATGACATATATATTTAAACACATATATCTAAAGATTTAAATATAGCATTTCTTTCACATATTTAAATATATGTGAGAGAGAACACATAGCATTGTTTTTCTGTGCATGGTTTACCTCACTTTTAAAGATTATTTCCAACTCCATCTCTTATCTTCAAATTTTATTTTTGATTACAGTTGAATAATATTCTATTATGTATATGTGCATATATAGAATATAATTTTTATTATCTAGGCAACATGTGTTGGCATGGATGTGGAAAAAGGATAATATTTATTTACTAATGGTGGTAGTGCAAACTGTGCAGTCACTATGAAAATCAGTATGGAGAGTCTTCAAAAGGCTAGAGATAAATCTACTATATGTCCAGGTATACCACTCCTGGGCATATTCCCAAAATAATATTCTAGTGCAAATGTACTTGCTCATCCACTTTAATTGCTGCTTTATTCACAATAGTTAGAAAATTGAAGTACTTTTTTTGAGAAAGAGTCTTTTACTGGGACCTGGGGCTCACCTAAGTCGGCTCAGCTGGCAATCCAGCAATCCCAAAAGATCAGCCTATCTTCACTTCCCTAGTGGAGAGATTCCAAGCAAGTTCCAATGTTACTACATTTAGCTATTGAGAGTGAGTTGTAGGAATCAACCCTAGATTCTTGTGCCATTGTTGTAGCCCACTTCTAATATGTGTGCAGGTAAAATGGTTTTCTACACTTTTTTACTAAGGTGGTATTCAACTGAATGAGCAGACACAGAGGGGACTTATTTGAGATTTTCACTATCTTAAGAAAGTTTTATTAGTAGTAGTATTTGAATTATTCTCAGTAAAATGAATTAATCTGAAAAATCCTGAATGTTAGTATTTACTTTCACCTTGAAGAAAAAAGCAGCTAAACATAAATATTAATTATATATAAATATATATATATAATTATATATATATAAATGATATCATACACCATAAATAAGAATAAAGGTTATA